TCAAAAAGAGAAGTTATAATGACTCTTCTCTCTCCTTTAATGTGACTGGTTATTCTGACTCAATCATGGACTGGTCTAGAAATCAATCCAGTATTGTAAATTATAGTCTTCATTTGGAAGACTGGTTCTGGACATTTTCAGAGACGTATTTGGAAGTTAGCTGCAGTTCTCTAGATGTTATGTTAGCAATACACAAAGTTGGGACAGCATCTGGGTTTTGAACAAGTGTTAGTGCATGTGCTAAAGCTCCCAATCATTTATTAATTGGTCATGTTAAAATTACTTTTGTTTCTTCTACACTATTCAATGCAGGCTGTGTTGATTATACACTTGTTATTGGGTTGAAGCCTGACATATCCATTGTGGTGGTCTATCAACCAGCTTTTGATTTATTGCCTGTGAGTATTAAAGGACCTTGAAATTCTGAAAAAAAAAAAAACTGTTGCAAATACTAGAAGAAATAAGTCAGGCTTTATGCAGAAGCAAGAGGGTAGTGGGCTTGATTAATGCTGGTATAGCAGCTTTCATTACATTAAGGCTAGCACCACTGCTTCTGCAATTGCTTTGACCCAAGAAGTTAAGACAACTACTTTTGATAATCATTTAACAGAAAATGTTACCAATATTATTGAGCATTCAACGGGATATAGATAGGCATTTGGAACAACAGATTATGCTTTTATGATTCTAATCCAATTATTGGAGAGGATGTTCAGAGTTTAAGAAAAAGGAGCTATCTCAAGTGTCACACTAAATACCAATGAGTTCGTGTTCCTTCTAAAATTTACAATGATAGTCACTATAATTGGGAAAAAGTTCAAAGATACTTGCATGATACTTTAATTGTAACACTCCTGGATATTTTAACTTTGCATAGTGAGGTTATGAATTTAAAGAATTCTGCTCTGCTGAGATTTGCTGCAGACACTGCTGATAAAGTTATTTGTGGCCTGAGGTCAGTATTTCCATCTTAGTCAGGCTTCAAGGATGGCATATATAGCTTGATCATTCTAGCCATATTTATTCTGGGAATACTTTTATTCCTATCCATTGTGTGGAAGCTTGTCTTTAACAACATCAGAATGTTGGCCCCCAAAGTACATGGCTTGAAACTAAAAATGGAACCCCAGACAGAGTTATTAATTTAACACACTGGCAAGCCACGAATGGGCAACATTATGCACTATCTCCTTGATCCAACAGTGCTGATGAATACCAACAATCTATTTCTTTGGTTTTATTAAATTTTCTATCTCCATTCACTGTGATCTAAAATAAGATTATATGATTGACAAAACTGAAAATGTTACATATATATATTTCCAAAGCCTGTATCCATATGATATTAAAGGGAAACAAGAGGCTTTCCTCAATTTTTACATTGAATCTGGTATTTCTAAATAATTATATTTTATTTTATGAAAAAAATTTCATTACAACACTGAAGGCACTGAGAGGAAATACAGCATTACAAGTCTGGTAAAACAAAGACCATACTGGCAGGACTTTGCAGGGTGTGCACTCAACATTCATTGTTAAAGACAACTCGGCACCTCAAGACTTTGAGATAAGAATCAATCTTATGCATGTCCCTTTTTATGCAGCGGCACAGGTTATAAATGGCAAAAAGATGAGTGTCTTCATCAGATGATTGCAAGTCTTCAAGTCCAGACCAGGCAGGGTAGCCAAAATTTTTATTTTCTTCAACGTTATCCTGAGTCCAAATATTAAGTGGAAAGGTATTATTGATATATTCTCTCTCTCTCTCTCTCTCTCTCTCTCTCTCTCTCTCTCTCATTCTCACTCTGTGTGTGTGTGTGTGTGTGTGTGTGTGTGTGTATGTGTGTGTGTGTGTATGTATGCATAGTTGATTTTTTATAGTATTAAGCACATATGATTTTTATGTCAGAATTCAATTTTGGGTAAATTTCCACCTTGTATTTTATCTTGATTTTTGAGACAGATACTCTTACTCTTACCTGGATCTAACCTCCAGTTAGCTTAAGTCTGATTCTCTAGACTAAGGTTACAAAGAAAAAACACCACAACACTCTTTTGATTCAAATTCTAGAACTGGCAAGTCCTCACATATGCATGAAAAGCTGAGACATGTGATTTATCACCCAGTGCATATTCCTGACAAATTTTTAATGAATTTTAGAAGAAAATAGGGGAATTTAAGATTTGGTGAGGAACCATGACATTTAATATAAAGAAATTATTAACACCAAACCATAGTTTGGAGACAGGTATACATATTTTGTAATCTGCCACTGACCTCACATAGGGTATATCTTTACATAAGTAAGCAGATGGTGAACCAGCAAGCTGCTATTTAGCAATATCTATCTGATTGTCTATTATACATATACACATACACATTCATATACACACACACATTCACATACACATACATATATACACATACATATACATGGAGAGAGAGAGGGAGATATATATATATATATATATATATATATATATATATATATATTCATATAGCCTTCTTACTGCATTTGTAAAATTCTATATTTAATTCAATATATACATATATATTGAAACATACAGAGAGAGAGAGAGATAGAGAGAGAGAGAGAGAGCGACAGAGAGACAGAGAAATGTCCTTCATGCTATATTAGTTCTGGTAGAGTGTCCTGATCCTTTTCTTCTTTTCAGATACATGTATTCTACATTTTGTATACTTTATTGAATCTTTTGACTTCAAAAGTATATTTTACTTAATGTGTTGAGGTGCAAGCAATACAGGGCATAAATGTCATATGATCTTCTGAATTGGGCAAGAGTGCCCATCCCATCAGGAAAGCTGCGGTTTAAATTACTCTGAGGCATAGCAATTTTCTATAGAGATAACTGTTCTATGGACTTCTTATTAAGTATTCGTTGATTTGGGCATTTTAAAATTCTTTTTGCATGACACAGTTTACCAATTGCATAAAAGCATCAACAAAGAAATTTGTAGAAACAGCTTACCCTATTGTATATGGTCTGAAGTCCCTCCAGAATTAGAAGATTTTTGTCCTTTAAAGCAACAGCTTTTTTCTGCATACTAACAGAGGCTCCTGGAAGAGCAGTCACTGCAGATACCAGGTGGTTCAGAGGTTCTTCCCAGGAAATTGAAACATTGATCATCGCTTTCAGAAGCTCGTCAGTCTAAGAAAACATCAATGGACATCACATTAAACTAAGTGACATAGAGGTGGATGGTTAGACTCCAGTATTTTTTTTTAAAAAGGAGATAAACCACAGTATATTTTTATTAATGATAATGCATGTTAGTGGTTTTATACTATAAAAATATTTTCATACCATATAAATACTGTGTAAACAGATATTTTCAGCTCCTGAATTCCACTTTGCTAAGTAAAACTAAGTAGGTCTTAATAATTCCTTCAAAATGAGGATATTTTGTGTTTCTGTACATTAGGCTTTGTGTCCTAATTAAACTTCTTCTCTTCGATTGCTTGCTCATCTATGAGAAAACAAGATCTATACGGCTTAGAAGGTGTCCAGAAACATGACTCTCATAACATAGATGACAACACTGTCAGAAGCTAATGGCTCAAATAATTTCTACAATAGTCAGTCAAATTGGTTTCTCATATTCTTGAGACTTATATATATAGAATATAAAAACCTGTTCACTGAAGAAAAATGGTTTTCAAAATGTTACTTTTCATGTATCTGCATGATTCCCATCCTTTGGCTCTAGACAAGTTGTTTATGCATTGACGTGTAAGAGAAACACTGTTACAGAGCATTACTTTAATTCCAGCATCAGTTCAAATCAGAATGGATTTTTGACCTAATAAGAGTTCGTGCAGTTCCAGGGTCATACAAAGTAAAATGTTTTGTTACATGTTTGCTATGAGGAATCCTAGACATTATAAAAATAAAGGCCAGAAAGAAACGTAATTAGAATTTTAAAAAATGTATACATTTATGAATGAAATGGACAAGCCAATGCTGATGGCCAACATGATGCTAGGAGAATAGGACCAGGATGATTAAGAGTGGTTGGATGACATGAAAGAAATTTAAGGTAAATTCTTACTTGACATACAAGGGAAAATAATCTCTGCATGCTCTTTGAAATTTCCCTTGATAGTCTTATCAAAACAATCAGAAAGTATTTGTTTTTACTACATCTTTCAGTACTAACAGAATGCTGTATATATTATCTAGAAAATTATTCTGTACAAAGGTTTTCCTCCAGTTGTATTTCTTTTATTTTTCTTATATAGTAAATTTACTTATAAGAGTATATTGTATATGTTACTTGTGTTAGTGATACAAGTGTGACCAGAGAATAGATTATGTGTGTGAGATAAATCTACATATTAGTTTTATATAACTCAGACTCTGATGTTTATGACAGGTAGTCAAAGGGAAGAGATCATAACACATATACATTAGATCTTCTTCAGAGTTATGAAGACCTCTTCGAAATGGATGTCATCCTGAGGATCATGAGGCAGTCTACAGAGGAGTCTCTTATGAAGCTGACTTTCAGTTTAGATACAGGAGAAGACAGACAAGTCAGGAAAGACTGTACAAATAATGAAGGAACAGAAGTAGGTTCTCTAAAGTTTAGAAATCTAGGAAGAAAGGACACAAGTGCTACCAGCAAAAGATCCTTTAGTGTCATACCACAAATATAACTGGATTTGTATTTGCTCTATATGTATATTCAAGAATGAGTGCCCAGTTGAGAGAAGAACATTCCTCGGGACAAACAGAAACTTTTGATGAAATTGGCTTCTATCTGGACAGTTAGAACTAGAAAAAGTGTGAATTGGCAGTCATCTGACTTAGTGCTATAGTTATCGCATATGTGATACCATTATTCTCTGACACTTTCATCTTTATCTATTAATTCTGAGATTACCACACCTCTTATGAGCTTAGTAACCATATATAGCAATGCTAGCCCATGTGGAACATTATTTGTTTGGCAAAACAAAACAAAGCAAAACAAAACGAAACAAAACAGGGAAGAAACCTACTTTAATTTCATGGACTTGCTTTCGACTCTCTGGAGTATGGATGGAAGCAGTATGACACAGGGGAAATATCCTGTCTTTTAACCAACTTGACATCCTACTCTTGACAAAGTTCAAATCCTGGAAGAAATTAAAAAGTTTTGATTCATTTGAGGTTTCATAATTGAATGGGAACATATATGACCACAAGATCATTACAGTTGATAAACAACACATTTTAATATTTAAGAACTACACAATATTTGAAACAGTGGATTGATGGAATTGTAATCTGCCTACCTTTCCTTTTCCATGCCTATACAAACTAATTTTCTGTCCTCCCCATCTCCTCTCCTCTTTACTATTCTTTTTTATTGTCTTTGCTAATGTTATTATTTGTAAAGATATAACCAAAATGCCCCAAACACCTGACTAATATATTTTTAAGGATCAGATATCCTAGAATTTGGCTAAGTGTCATAGATTATTATCATTTATGCAGTTTTATAAACATCTTATTTTTATTGGAACAAAGGGACATACTTTTCAAAGTACAGTTTGTAACTTTACAAACTTGCTCTCAAGTATCACCAAGGATCGTCTTCACACAAAGTTTGTGATATGTGTTCAATTCATTACTGCTGATCCAGTCAACAATTAACTATTAAATTCTGGGCACATTTTAAGAAAGTATTCAGCAGTGAGTAAAGTATGAATTCACAAAAGTATTTAATATTTCTAAATTAATGATATGAAGAATGTACTTGTATAAGGTATGAATTACGAAAATACAAAATTACTTAATTCTAAGTATCAAACAATTTACAAAAAATGAAGTATTATTAGAAATGTACTGCTGAAATATTAGAAAAGAAGAATAAGGAATTAAAGAAAAACAAGTGAAGGAAACTAACAATGGGAATGTATATTTTCAATAAATGTAAGGATATGTAATCCATATACTCAATTTTCAATGTAAATTTTCTGTTATTTCCTCGCTGTCAGACCCTGAACTTATGAGCTATATCCCTGAGAAAAAGAAAATGTATTTTGAGTCTAAAATCACCTCCTCAAATGCACTAAAACTCTTTCCTAAAAACGATAAACTTGTCTCTTAGCATTTGTGAACTTAAAAAGAGCTACTGTGTTTTGTTTTATTTTCACTGTTTGCATGGTTTCAATTTTCTTTAGCATTATTATTTTCATATAAGTACCTCATGGTTTTGACTTTTTATAAATGTATTCCTTTCATATAACTAACTTCAATGCAATTCTCCTGCACTATGTATCTTCAGATCAGGAAGTATGAAATGGTCATGAAGACAGATCCCGTGGGTATATTACTAGGAAATCAAAGATGACAAAGTGCAAAACAAGCTATTGTTTTTAAAGTTAATTTAGGAAACGTTAAAATAACGTTTAATTCTTTATAATTACTTGAGATTTTTATGAAAATTCACATTCTGCCCGTTCTACATTTTGCTATATGATTGCTACATTCCAATTTTATTAGTGTTTAGCTATTTGAAGGCCCTTTTAGATAAGAATCCAGAAGCAAGGCCATTACTTACAAATTCGCTGTGTACATCTGCGGCCAGGATAAATGTATTATGGGTCTGTTCCACCAAACGGTGATATAGGTCTTCAGTAGACACAGAGGCAATGGGATTGGAGGCCACATTCTCCCAAAGGAGCAGGTTTGACACCAGTAGCAACAGTTGCATTCCTACTGTCAGAGAAACCAACTGAGAAGATCTATGCATATTTGGTTACAACAGATAAATTATCTTAGAACACTGTCTTTTCTGAAGACATGAGTTTTCTGAAGACAAGAGTTTTAATTTTTTTCTCAGCCATGTGATTTGATTTGCTATAGGTTAATTAAGGTATTCACTTTCATAACTGGGAAAATACAGAGAAATAACGACATTTCTTCATTAGTGGATTGGAAATGTAAGAGACTTCTCACAATTTACATTTGCTCAAAAGCAGCTTTTCAAGTAGTTTGCAAACACACTGAGGTTGACTAACCCTGAACCAGAGTCCTCAAGTCATTGTCTGAACATATTTGAAGTTCTCAAGAATTTATTTTTTTTCATCTTATTAAATACATTATTATTGTAACTAAATCACTTTCCTTATAAATAAAATCACTTAAGACTATGGGAATTTGATAGTTAATTCAGTTATTCAGATTGAGCAAGTATTCTGCTTGGTACACAAATGGATAATAACTTCCTGTTTCTGCACTTGAAACAATTGGACTATTTAATCTTTTAATTCATGTAACATTTGAATTCTCAATAAGCCTTAATATTTTCAGTAATGCAAATTGAGTTTTAATTTTTGTTGTTGTTGTTGTTGTTTAGGAAGAGTAAGCTTTGAAGCAGAAGGTTTAAAAATGCTGGTGCTCCCTAGATACCAGGAACACTATCCCCTTTTGCCATCCTGTTAATAAAGACAACGTAAAATAACTGAGAATTTTCATGTGTCTACAACACAAGGAGAAGTCCCACTTTAAAGCCACTGATCTCACAATTAATTGAGTAAGTAGAATCTAAAAAGTTCTTCCATCTTTTTGTTGCCTCTTCTATAGAGGAATCATGATCAAATATTAATTCTCTAATGATACAGAGTAGATGTAAACACATGGAATTTTGAATAACCATGATCCAGAGACCACAAGTCATTCTTTGTACATATTTGAAGTTTGAGACTCTTTTACTACACTCAAATCTCCTCCATCAGCCAGAAAGACTGTAAAATGTTTCTTTCAATAGACGAGGTAATTGTTACTGTAATCAATAGGTCTAAACACAAATGTTTAAGAGGCACTTTGACAAGCACATTATAACCAAAAGCAAATATACACTCCAAACCTATCTTGAACATGTGTGCAATATTAAGGTTTACTTAGAGGTACATGGATGAAAGGCCACTTACCAGAGCCTGAAAGAGTCAACGTCAGCTGCATCTCTGAGAAGATCCACCACAATGTGGGCTCCAAGTCAGGAAATCTGCTTCAGCTGAGTGTTGTCTTCATCCAACTTTCTACCTCCTATATATACAACTGGACTCTACCCAAATCCAAGCAGAGCTTGGGGCCAGATTGAATCAACGTCTATCGATCACCAACATCATTCTTCCTTCAGGAATATTAACATCCTCTTTGCATTCATCACTGTTATACCTCAATATTTGTCACACTGCATTTCCTCCATAGGATCTTGGGTTTTCAAGTCATTATCAAAATCAGCAAGATAATCCAGACTGATTGATTACTCATTTCCGGGTCAGCAGGAGAAAGGATTTTTCTCCTATACTTCCCCTTTTTTCAAGACCTTATGTCTGTCTTGTCTTCTGTAAAGCTCCCTAGTGTTTTTGGTTATAATCAATGCTTTCAATAACTATATGAATATTTGTCCTCTCTATATCTACAACAGAAAATTTTTGTAGATTGTTTCATGAAACTCAAATCTCTTCCATTAACTGGAAACACTGTAAAATGTTCCTCTCAACAGATGAGGTAGAAGTTCCAGCAGTGAACAAGTCAAAACACAAGTGTTTAGTAGCCACTTAAACAGGAACATCACATCCAAAAGAAGCACATTTACCAAAAGTCTACTTTTAGTTATAGATTGTGACAATTTTAGGCACCATATTTTCCCTGACTTACAATATAACACATAGATTGTTTTATTTGGTTTGGAACGTAAACAAATAAGATAACTGTTGCTAACATTGTATTCACTACTTGCCACACTTTGTTAGGCTTGCTGATGGCTTTATCACGCCACTGAGTTTTAAAACATTTGGGAATTACCATGAAATATGCAACATAGTGACAGGTGGAACCATGAAACACATGGAATGTTCTCATAGATCCTAAAACTTTAATAGCCAACTCTTGCATGTATTTCGTTTCTTTCCACCCAAGAACAAATGAGGGAATCATAGGCGAGTCCTTCAGAGTGTCTCGGTGAATAAAATCAAAGAAGAATCAGTGATCAAGTTCATTCTTATCCTTCCTGTATCAGTTGCCTACTCATCAGAAATAATGGAATCTTTAATTTGTTAGGGATATTTGTATTTCAAAAGAAGAAATAGATATCATAAACAAATTAAAAGGGAAAAATAAGGTTGAAATAATAAAATGTTTCCCATGAAAGACAAATTCTGGATCTGTCAAGTTTGTTAGTGAAATCCAACCAATATTTGAACAGGGATTTATGTTAATTCTTTGCAAATTATATCAAAAGTTAAAGGAGAGAACTTTTTGAAATTTGTTTATGTAGTTCATCATTAAATAGACACCAGTACCACATAGGCTTCACAAACAACAGCAAAACAATAATGGGCAAAATAGAAGACACAACAACCAAAAAATTTGTTTTCATACAATCGAAAATGAATATTGATAAAATATCAATGACATTAGAAACGGCCTGTGGATTTAATGCAGTAACATACCAATAACTGTCCTTTTTTATAGGTTATTTTATTTATTTACATTTCATATGTTTTCCCCTTCCCGATTTTTCCTCCACAAACTCCTATCACATTTCTCTTCCCCCTTCCTCTATGAGGGTGCTCCTGCACCCACCCACCTACCCACTCCTGCCTCATGCTACTAGCGTCCCCCTATAATATCCTCCTAGGCTGGGGCATCAAGCCTTCACAGGACCCAGGTCCTCACCTCCCATGGATCTCTGCTATATATGCAGCTGGAGATATGGACCACTCCATGTGTACTATTTGGTTGTTGATTTAGTTCCTGGGAATTCTGGGTGGCCCACTTAGTTGATATTGTTGTTATTCCTAGCCAATAGAAAGTCCCAGATGCCAGGGAAGCAAGAGGCTCCCAGGACCCAATGGGATGACATCAGCCAAAAT